GCATCATGTTTGTTTTATGGAGTTTATTTCCTAGGTACAATCTTAAGGAACAATTAAAAGATAATTTGAAGATATTTAAAAACTGGATGAAATAAAAAATGGAGACTGAGGAATGTAGAGACCGTAGAGAGGTGGGGGTGGGGGAAGAGACGTGAACTAGCATTGGTTTTATAGAGGCCATAGTATGTTGAATGGTACTCATTCCACCACGAAAAGAAAAGAAGAAGAAGAAAGATAAATAAATGAACGGAGATTTTGAAATAATTGGAATTTTGGGTGACTGCGTGGGCTGGTGATGACGCACATGAAAGCTACGTGTATTCACTGCAAATATATAAAAATTACAAAAAATAATTAAAAAAGGCAGCAGCTTCATGCATGATGTAAAAGGTAAAAACTTTAACCCATAAAAGGATGATGGTGGTGATAAAAAATAGAAAGATTCCACAAATAGCCAAAAAAAAAAACAGTAAACAGAAGTAGAAAGTAGAACCAGAATAGTATGTCGGCATAATTGCAGAAACAACAATATATCATAAATCTTTAATTAATTAATTTCCAAAAGGAGAGGACGTGGAGGCCTCATCACCGTCCATTTGCCATAAATTGTTGATATTGCTGTTGTTGACTTTACTCTGTCTCTGTCTGCTGTAAGCTGTTTGAAGCTCTTTCTTGTTCTTGTTGTTCTCAAGTAAAACCATTTCTCTCTCTCTCTCTCTCTATTTTTTCCAATTCAAAAATTTTATGTGTCTTCTGTGTTTGTGATTTGGTGATTGTTGTTGGGGTTTGATTGGAATTTGGTTTTGTTTTGGGAAAAAACAAAAAAATCCAAAAGAAAGAAAAAGTGGAAATTAAGGAGTAAAAGCAGCAGCAGAAGAGTAGGATTGTTGGAGTTTTGGGCAGCAGAGATTACAGAGCGCCAATTTTTATCCGGATTTGTTGTGTTGTTACAACGTTAGATGTTCTTGATAGATATAGATAGACAGAGAGACAGATTTTAATATTGTTTGAGGAAACATAGGATTCTCTTCCATAACAAACACACCCCAAAAATATCTTTATTTTTTTTATTTTTAGTTTGATTTTATTTGATTGATTCAAAGGATTTTCTTTGCCTTTGGAAAGAGGCCATGGCTTCTGCTGCTGCACCTGAAATTCATAACAACTGTATGTAATCTCCTCTTCTTTCTTTTTTAATTTTATTTTTCTGAATTTTTTGTTTCTGTGATTGTTTGAGCTTAACTCTTTGATCCTGATTTTGTATGATCAGCTCTTGGAAAAGAGGAGGAAGAAGGGAAAGATTCAAACCCACATGTCCAATCCACAGAATTCTTCAATTCCAATCCGGTATTGTATGCCATAATTTACTTTCACACTCCCTTTTTCTCCTCCTGTTCTTCCTGCTTGTTTCTGTCCCGTCGATTTATTCAATCAATGTGGCTAGAAACAAGAGGGGAAGTGCAAGACCTTGTTTTGTTGCAATAATTATTTGGTTTTTAGGCCTAAAGCTTAGCTTTGTACCGTATATTGAGTTACCATGTTGAATATTTAGATTTCGATGCGTGATTCGTAGATTTTATGTCTGCTTGCTTTATGATCCATGAAAATCTGATTTGTGAATTTGTTTGTCTCCGTGTGTGTTTGTGTGTGTGTGTGTGTGTGTGTGTGTATCTTTAGGCTCACAGCAAGGATGGGAGCCCATCTGATACAGCATCATGTATATCGACCGTGGGAGATACAAATGCCAGTGTAAGAAAAAGTGATGCAGATGCAGATTATGAATCCCTGACTTCCTATCCGCCAACTGCATATTACGGATACACATATCCAGGTTTGCAGCAGCTTTTCATAACTACGGTCCATAATTCGTGTTCTTAGACTACTTGTAACATCTTATCATTACCACGTGCGCAGGTTATGAAATGGAAAACAATGGATACTATGTCGGTGGAACCGGGATGGAGATGCAATATCCAGTAAGTTCCATTATCTAATTCACAATTGCGCACGAAAGACATTGTTATGTATCTGGATTCATATGGCTGTTGATTTCAAATTGCCTTTAGATTACTTCTGCTGTGTGCAATTTGTAACAAACTGATCTTATAGTCACTATTGCTCCATTTAGGTCATGCAAGCAGATAATGGATCTTTTGTCTACTTGATGCCAGGATTTCAGCCTGGTTATGATCCCTACTCACCATACATGCCCATTTCTCCAATCGGTAGTGATGGGAAATATGTTGGTCAACAGATGTATCCCTCCCTGAGTCCCGTGTACCAAGCTCCTATTTCCCCTGGATATAACCCTTCTCTTCTTCCTTATGGGGAGTTCGTCCAATCACCCTACTTGTGGGATCCATCTCTTGTTGTTGGAGATGGAACAGTCGGAAGTCCCCACAATGCAGTCTTAGAAACACCGCACTATAAACCTAATTTCTCTTCCCCTAGTCACACTCGTGCTCCACTCTCTAAATCTCCCAAGCCGTTGGATGTTTCATCAGGTTATGGTGCACAAAATCAGTCAAAACCAGCAAACAAGGTAGAGTACTTTTTCTTTGTGCCGGTGGAGTTATATTCTCTTATCTTGGGCAATTTTGATGATTTTTTCAATGATCTTAGGCCTCGCTGCGTCCCCCAAGTCTGCAAACAGAAGCACTAGCGAAAGGTTACTTTCCGGTATCAAAGTTTCCGGTCTATAACCAAGGGACAGGCGGACTGCTCTATCCAAACAATTCTCCGACTTTACAACCAAATGCAAGGGGCTGGGGTGGCTCTGACAAGTTGAAACCAAGAAGTAAGGCTAATGGCGTTAAGGATATTAATCTATTTAATGAGAAGAACCATGGCCCCAGAACAACCAATCCTAAAGGTGCATTGGTGCCTGGAGCTGACAAGGAGAATGAAAAATCTGATGGCATAGCCTCTGTCATCAGGAAGGATCAATATAACCTCCCGGACTTTCCAACCAAATACGAGCAAGCACTTTTCTTTGTCATCAAATCTTACAGTGAAGATGATATTCATAAAAGCATCAAATACAATGTGTGGGCTAGTACTCCCAATGGAAATAAGAGGTTGGATAGTGCATATCAAGATGCACAAGAGAAGATGGCACAGAAGGGCTACAAGTGTCCCATCTTCCTCTTCTTTTCGGTATGCTCGAGACTTAGACCTTATATTTTTGCGCAGGAGTTTCCTACTGCAGACTTTTGGACCTTTGGACTCTAAAATGATTTACTAATACCATCTTTGCTTCCGTCTGTTTTATGATGCGTTTCAGGTTAATGCTAGTGGTCAGTTTTGTGGAGTAGCTGAGATGATTGGTCGTGTTGACTTCAATAAGAACATGGGTTTCTGGCAGCAGGATAAGTGGAATGGTTATTTTCCGGTCAAGTGGCATATCATAAAAGACGTCCCAAACCCACAGTTACGACATATAATACTTGAGAACAACGAGAACAAGCCCGTGACCAACTAGTAGAGACACTCAAGAGGTGTGCATAACCAACAAGAAGTTTGATTTTATTGTATTTTTCACTCAGTGTGATCAAGCATAAATCTGAGATTACATTTGTATTTTGCAGGTGAAACTTCTTCAGGGTATCGAAATGCTGAACATTTTTAAAAATCATATGTCAAAGACATCAATACTGGATGACTTTGATTTCTATGAAACCCGCCAGAAAATGATGCAGGAGAAGAGGATCACACAATCTACACCCTACTACGAACTGCAGGTATGCCGTGACTCTTCCCTTCTCTCGATTCTTTTCGATCAACGAAAATCTTTTCTAGTTTTCTAATACCATTGGCATGTTTAAGTAAAGTTCTTGCATACATGCATAAAGGATCAAGAATAAAGCAAGAACAAAGCTGGTAACAAAGTGGAGAGTGTTGTGCCATTCAAGTTTTTGAAATAGGACTTTATTCTATTCTTTCAGATAGGATAATAATTACTATATTTTACGGGAATTGATTTCCGCGCTCTCTTCTTTTGTCCCCTGCATTCCTCTCGTTTCTTTAGGCATTGGATTCGATAAATCAAAGAAAAAAATATATATAGACATAAAGAGGGGAGGAGTGTAGAAGGACAAAGCGGGAGAGTTAAATTTCTTCTTTCGGTTTGCTTGTAATTTGTTTTCGTCGTGGAATGTTAACCAGGAATTGTTAATTATGTCGCAGCAGAAAATGAGTGAGTTAAGTGTCAGTGCTGAGTAGGGGCCTCAGGTTAAAGGCAAAGGAAAGGATGCAGAGATATGGGCATATGACAGATTATAAACCAGAAACTGGAGTCAACGGTTTTCGAGCAGCAGTTAAAATATGTAGATTTGCAGATGAAATTCAAAGGCATAAGAATGAAGAGGTGTCGCTGTTTCCCTTTCAAGTTTCCGTCGAAAAAAAACGGGGTACAAAATGCTGGTTTTGGAAGCACCTAACGATTCATATGCCTGTGGAATCCAAGTTCTCTCCCTCCTCTGCCTGCATACGTATAGCTTTTGTTCTTCAGCATGAAAGTGTATTTGGTTCTTTGTTTTGTGTTCCCACCTCTTACTTAGTTCTCCTGAAATTCACAATTGTAATTGTAAAAAAGAAAAAAAAGCAAGAAAAAAAATGATAGTTTATTTATGAAAATATTCATACAGCTGAGCGCAATGGCCTTAGAGAATTCATACAGATGATGCTACTTAGCGGTATAAGACATTGTTATTGTTGTAGTTTCCCGTTTTACAGGTATAAGACGTTATTGTTGTTGTAGTTTCCTGTTTTCTTCCTGTAAATGTAAATGTAAACGGATTAAAACAAAAAATTTACGCGCTTTTTTATCGCGTATACAGTGTGACCATACCAAAATCGCAAACAATTAATTTACGCGCTTTTTCACCGCAAAAATGTTGAGTGACTCAATCCAGTCCGGTGAAGCGATGAGGTAGCCGGAAAGTTTGAGACCAACCATTTCCGAAAAACCAGGCAGAACTCCAACACAAAAGGCAGAACTATGATAGTCCAAATGAAACTTGGTAAACGTTAATAATATAACGAGCGAAACAGGTCGTGTTCGTGTCCTTCCCGCAACAAGAAAGTACACTATGCAAAACATTAGGCAGGTGCTCCATCGTCGAGGAAGCAAAAATGGATTTACATACTACTCACTGAACATCAAAACACTTATCCTCCAACTAACATCTTTCCAAAATCCATATCCGATTTTCGAACATCGAAAAAATTTGTGCCCTTTCAATGGCAGTATGGGGGATAAAGCGTAAATTTCTTATGAATTTTGGTCTCACACTTGATCGCCAGATGTTGACCCACGAGATCGTCCACGTCCGCGTCCGCGTCCAGGTCTCCCACCTTGTCTTCCAGCTGGTCCACCACGACCTGGGCTTGGTGATGTTGAAAGCCCTCTTGCCTGTTGTCTTCGGCGTGCATTCACCACGGCTCGTTCTGTTATATTTATGGTAGTTGACGGATTAGTCACTGGAGACACCTGTCTCACCTCTTCTGCCGCAAGACTGGGACTAGTTTGTTTTGAAATGCTAACTTCCGATGTGGTACCTGTTGAAGTGGTATCCACGATTACTGAGGTAGCTTCGGCACCTGTTGAAGTGGTATCCACGATTACTGAGGTAGCTTCAGCAGCCTGATCAGTCTCCATCGCAGTTTGGTCATTACCATCAATTGACTTATCGGAACCATCAGCGGTTTCTTCAGTTGCATCCATGTCATCATTTTTCTCATCATTAAGAATCTCTGGAGAATTGACCTCACCAATATCCACAACAGAACCAGCAGCAACACCATAATCATCGCCCCTAGCTGGGGAAGCCTCGGGAGTTGTTACAGGTTCAGGTTGAACTTCCCCTATTTCAGGACTGGCCATCGTATCACCACCTTCAAGCTCAGAAATATCAGGGACCAGCTCTCCCTCTTCTCGTTCTCCTCCAAAATCACTGGACTGTTGCTCCATCTCAACCTGATCTTTGGCTCCATCGTGTGATGGCATATCTTTTCCATCTGACCCATCCACATTCTCCACTAAATCACTATCCTTCTCAGGTTGTGATTCAACTTGACTCGAACCATCAAACTGTCCTTCATTTGGCTCTTCAACCTTCTCCCCAGCAGTCTCAGTTTCTTCTTTCTCAGCATCAACAGCAGCTTCCTCATTTGAACCTTGCGGCAAATCAACAGCGACGTCTAAAGGTTCATCTTTGACTGGAACACTCCCAAGATTCTCCGAAATAGTAGATGGCTGCCCTTCACTCCCCTGTGGAGAATCTGAACCTTTGGACTTCTTTGACACAGGTGCTGCCACATCAGGACAAATTTCCCCTTGATTATTTGTTTCCTCACGGGACTCAGAAGTAGATGAAGAAGCCAGACGTTTCCGAAGCAGCGGTTGTGTCAAAGTAGCATTTCCTTGAACTTCCATTTCATTCGATGGCGCTTGTTTGCCCCCATTGCGGGTCCCTTCCATCTCTGACATCTCTACATCACCTTGTGGTTCTTCAGGTCTTACAAGACGGGGCCTAACCAATCTCCTTCCTGGTTTGCGAGTTTCAACATTGGTTTTGGGCAAAGTGGTTCTCTTTGTGCTTTCTTCAGTCGCTTTGGATACTAAGCTCTTCACAGGACTCATTGAAGGCACAACAGTGGGTGCTTGAGCAGTACCTGCATGGCACACAAAGGTTAACGAATTTACACGAATAAAGAACTAGCAGGATTTACAAAATAAACGATGGAAATAAAAAATGAAGTACACCAATCCTCAGTATAAAAAGAATTGCTCAACAAAAGTACCAGAGGTAGCCACTAATGAAGTATCTGCAACTGGAGGAGTGTTTGCCAGAACACCGTGAGCTCCAAACTCATTGTGAACTGAATGTGCTGTCTTTTCAAAATTTTCGACAGCTAAGCTGTAGGCAGCAGCAAGACCATCCAGTATGGTTCCTGATAGTTGTTGAACAACTGAGGTGCCCTGAGATACATGGAATATACTATTAAAACAAACGGAGGTGAAATAGCAAGTATAAAACATGGTTTTGAAATATGATGAACAAAGTACGTAAAACAAGTTAGAATATAGGTACTCATAAGGGGAGTGAAAGGAATCTGCTTTCCGGTTTGATAAATAACAATCATACCTCAGGGAGACTGTCTTTTGCATGTTTTAGCTTTTCAAGCTCTTCTGAAAGCTGCTTCAGAGCCTGCTTATGCTTCTCGAGTTCATTCATGAACTTCTTCTTGTCCTAAAGCAAAAAACATCACATGCGTCACTTCGTAGTACAGCTTATATCCACATTGAGATTAAAGTACTAAGAACATGTCCAGCTGAATTCCAGAAGTAAACCCTAGGATATACTGGTAGAATGCTTTAACTGATATGGAATTTACTACAACGGACAGATAGAAAACCTGGTCAACATTAGTATAGGAATCCGTTACAGCCTTCTCCATCTTCCTGCGCGTTGCTTTCTCCATACGATTTTCGTCCCTCTCCTTTCTCAGCTCCTCTCTCTGCCTCTCCAAATGCTTTTCCAGAAGCTGGCGATCATAGTAAATAAGTCACAACTTGCTAACGAGGTCAAAGAGATACAGAAAAGCAAAAATGTCTATTAAGTTCAACCTGAATTTTCTGGTCTTTCTCTTCCCTAATTGCCTGCTCCCCGGTAGTATCCCCTGATGCTCGTTTCGCTGTAAGATACAGTCAAAAACAGATAGATGAGTGGATTATAATATATATCACGAATGAGTGGAAAAGGACTGATGGATGGTTTAAACTTACCTAATTTGAGTTCCTCCAGCTGTCTAGAAAGAGCTTGATTCTCCTTGCTCAGTTCCTCCCTTTCCTTTGATAGTGTCTCCTTTTCTTTTGAAAGGGTCTCTTTTTCTCTTGAGAACATTTCAAGCCTCCTCTGCAGAATTAATGAATGTTAATCACCAACCAACAAATAAGAAAAGTTTTCACCTTATAAGCACAACTCCAAATGTCAAAAACTAGTCAAAAGAGGATTACATATAATATATGCAATTAATTTCAGGTAACAATTGTTCCTTATAAAGGACATGAAACTTTTAAAAACCTTATACTGAGCAGTGATCTTCCTTTGCTTCTCGATATCTGATTTTAGACTTGCCTGTGCAAGGAAGACATGGGAAGGGTATACATCAGAATTGCATAAGAAATCCAATGGCAAGCACTTCTCCAAATCTGGTCATAGAATACAGAAACTAAGATGTACCTCAACTTGCAAAGCGTCACTCATTCTCTTCTCCATCTGAGTCAGTTCCAATTTGGAGTTAGCAATATCTTGCTCCAGACGTGATACAGTCTCCAACTTTTCTGAAAGAAGTTTCCTGACTTCTACTATTTGAGAATCCTTCTCCTCCAATTTTTTCTTAGGACATAAATGATGAAAATAAAATAAAGATGTATACAGTAACAATGATAAAAGTACAAACGAGAAATCATATAAACATTTGAAGGGAACTGAAACAAAGTAAGATACAAATGGACGCACACCATAGTTTGTTGCCCTACTCACATAATTAATGTACAGATAATCAAAATAAAAAACTAAACCAAAAAAGGCACAAACAAGTTGGAAGTTTATCGCATGCATTAACATAAGTTACATAACCATTTGATAAAACATCAACAATAGGTTAAAATACACTCGTAATTTGTAATGCTTTTCAACATCTTTTTTAAGTGGACAAGGATTCACACATATCAACGATAAAATGTCAGTATAAAAGGCGAAGATATAATAACTAACAGGAGCAAAGCAAGCTTAAAGCAATTAACATTGCTTATAAAGGTGTCAGCCTACCTGCAACTGACGAACATCCTCCTTTGTGCGATCATAATCTTGAACATCAATGTTTCTATATCTTTCAAGTAGCTTCAAGAAAGAGAGTACATTAGAATATTGGATGTGTTTATTTACTAAGCGCATGCCTACATATATCTGCAGCAGGTACTGCCACAAAATCGGCAGACTGTACAACTTTTCTAATGGTATTAAGGTCCAAATGACTCTTTCAGCTACCAGGCATAGATATACAATTATTGAAATCTAGCTCTCTGGACTATTACTACGTATGTCTATGTTTATACTAGGTTGAAGTGTGCAGGGATAGTTCATAGAGTGTATAGTTCTCAGAATAAGACAAAATCCTAGAGAGAGAGAGAGAGAGAGAGAGAATTCCCCCATCATGGACTGTTAACATATAGTTTTGCAATTACTAGATGCAAGTGCAAAAGAGAGACAGAAAGCAGTTCCAAGATCAATACCTCACGAACCCTCTGTTCTGAGTGTTCTTTCTCTGACTTTCGCATTTCAATTTCTTTCTTACAGGCTTCCAACTCAATCTGTCTCTCCTGTAGCAATCTCTCTAGGTTCTCCGTCTCAGCATTAGCTTTTTGTGATATTTCACGCAATTTCTGAAACAAAATAAAAAAAAATGAGTCACATTTACATGGATGAAAAACAATTATCTAAACATAGAGAATCCTCAAATAAGGACTTTCAGCAGTCAAAATATTCAAATACCTGGCATTCCTCAAAATTGTGCTTGTTTTCTTCTCTGAGTTGGATATTGCTTTCACGAAGTAAGTTAATTTCTCTAACCTGCAAAGACATTTCATCATGACAGCATAAAGTTAGAAGGGGGAAATAGTAGGTATTGGGATATAATCTCAAAATAGTCTGCTGTGCAATGTCCACAGAAACACAGAATAGGGAGTTCAGTGTCAAATAAAACAAAGGTCAGACACTTGTGTGGAATATACTGACACTGCACATGTGGTTTGAGAAGCACTACAGTACAACAAAATAATGGAAAGAGATATAGGATAACAGCTAAGAAGCATAATATACATCTGAACTTTGAGAACAATACTACACGACGAAATGAAACTAACCTGTAGTTGCAAGGATTTCATTTCCTCCTCCGTGAACATTGATCTTGAATTCGTGCGCTCAGCATGAAGTGATGACTTGGCTGTTTCTGAAGCCTTGAGGGCACTCTCAAGCTACAAAAGCAAATATAAAATGAGTGCATGAATTCAACCAAGGACCGATGAATAACCATGATAACACATAAGAAATACAAAAATCACAACAGACAAACATCCTCAGGCTAAATGCAGGAACACATAGTACCATCACATGATTGGAATAAAAACAAAAAGACCTCCTGAAAATTTCTACGACAACACGGCAACATTTACTAGGCTTTTTTCATGTCAAGAGTAAAAGTTTAATCACAACCTCATTTTTCCATTTGTATAAAATAACAAATAATGGTGGATAAGCAAAAGAAAACGCCTTTTACAAACTCACTTGTGACTGTAATCGAAGTTTTTCTTGTTTCAATAAGGAAATCTCTGTCTCTGCCTGTCAAGTTGAAAACAATAATACTATCAAATTATACTATATATGTCTCTGCCTGTTAAGAGAGGATATTGATAGCAGCAAAAATAACTTACAATTTCTTTTGTCCGTCGAAGATAACCTATCACATTTTGTAAACCAGCATCACCAGAAGTATCTGGAGCATTGCTTGCAGAAGTTCCAACTGAACCACGATCTCTATCAGTCAGTTGAATGTGCAAAGCCTCAAGTTGACTGTGCAGTATTTTGTTCTGCATATAAAGTTGAAGCTTCAGAAGAAGACAAGGGAATATGAAAAAAGAAAAAATCAAATATGGCACAGAATTCAGCTAAAATGCATAGTTCAGTCACAAATTTCATCTTCCGTATCAAGTCCTAAAACTGGTTATCAAAGACCGGACCTGGTTTCAACTACTTGACTCGTACAGATTATTAACAGCAATTTACTCGACCTCAAGATTTTGACATAAAACTGACTGGAAAAGAGGACAGTCTGCAAATCATAACAAAAGCAGATTAAATATGCACTTCAATAACCTGTTCATTGATTTCATTGTACTTCTTCTCGGCAACATTTTTGGATTCTTCTAACATTCCCTTCTCAAATTCCCACTTAGACTTGAGTTCATTCTGTAAGTAAAATAAAACAAAATCAGCTTGCATAACACAACCAAACAAGACTTGCAGCAAACCAACAATTCCCACGAGAGAGTAAAGTTACATTTTCACTTTTGAGTACGTCAACCAATTTCCGCAACTCTGACGCTTCTTCCTGGAGCGTAGCCAAAGCCTGCGATGTCTTAGTCAACTCCTGTATTGTCTCCGACTGGAGGATAACCTGACCGAGATAAAGAATCATTCCTTAGCCATCAGTGAATAAAACGTATATGAGGGTAAAATATATGTAAAGCATGACAATCTCAGTGCTGAACAGCTGCTGAAGGAAAGGTTCTAGAAATCATTGTTTGATTGACATCCTTTATTGGGGATAAATCCGGGCATTAGATCCTTTGACAACTAATTTACAAGTGCATGTACAACTTCTGAAAAAACATTTATTTACATATTCAAAGAAATATTCAGCTGATTGGACTCGATCACAGCCTTAAAATTTAATTCCCACAAGCAATGCAAGTAAACGAGAAAAATCTACCAAAAACCCCACTATCAAACCACGACCCCATAGAGTAAAAGACTTTAAGAAGCTGCTGCCAAGAAAACTCCAACATTTCAAACCTTGACAGGACAGGCCTGTTGGACCAGTCGAATCAATGAGCATCAATTGTCCCAGTTTGGATAAGTTTATAAACCATTTTTCTAATTCAACAGCAACAATCACTCAAACCTTATTATACAAGAAAAAGCATAAAAACACATGCAGATTAACCTGTCTTTCATAATTGGCCTGAGCAGAACGCCATCGCTGATGTTCTTTCTCCAAGTCTTCTTTCAAAGCAGATATCTGAATCTCCAGTGACACAATTTGGGAACTACAAACAAAACAGAGATGAGATGCCAAATGGAATAATCAAATTCATGACATAATGAAAAATAAGAGAAACCCACGTTTTAGTTGAGGTTTCTTCCTTTAGACTTGTAATTTCTGATAGAGCGGAAGAAAGAGCTTCTTCCTTCCCTGCAGCTGCTGAAGCAACTTCTTGAGACTTCAAACTACACTCGTATTCAAGTTCAGATACTCTCTCTCTTAGAGAAAGAAGATCGGTTTCAAGAGATTTCTTCAGTTTTTCAGCCTGTAAAGTAATTGGGATCATAATTCACTATCAACTGACAGACGTTGGAGTACTAATTCAACCAAAATCATATACACACACCAGTACCTCAATCTTGAAGTTTTCATGGGCAGATTCCATCTGTCTCAATGCATCTTCGTTTACCTGAGCTATGCTCTTATACTGTGAAATTAAAATAGAGATAAATCATAAGTTTGAATAGGCTTTAAGATATTAAGCAAGTCAAGGAATACTAAGTACCTGTAGCATGTGATCCTTGTTAGCTTGCACTTCCTCTCTCAATTTTTCAATCTCTTCCTTTGCAGCATGCAATGCCACCAAAGCCTAATCAACCAAGTCAATGTCAGGATCGACTGATTCAAACTCAATACAAAGAATGGTACATGCTCCCAACTAAAAAACAACCACTGTCAACAAAATGAAAATAAACAAATGCATAGATTGGATCTATGGAAATTTGAAATATCAATATCAGTACCAAAGGAAAAAACAGAAGCATTATATTACAAATGGCAACCCTGGAAAACAATTAACAAAGAAAAGGTAGGCAACATTCAAGAAATAGGCAGGTAAACGGCAGAACTTACCTCATCACTTGTCAAGGAGGAAGATACACTCCCACCATCGACATCAACAACCTGCATCATATGTAAAGAGATGCAGGGGAAAACCATATCAGTCAGTACGTATTAAGGAAAATCGAAAAATGTTTAAGAATATGACATATATCACAAAAGAACTTCAAACATGTAAAGAATACTGCTTATTAGAAACTATACCTTCACATCTGAGGATTTACTCCTTCTGTCCAAATCGGTCAGTTTAGCCTGTGTTATCAACAAAAACTTCAAATCTTGACTTGTAAATCATAGAGATTAAACGGGATAACAATGATACATGAGCGTATTCTGAGGGCTAATTGAAATTGTGCTTACAAACATATAGGGGAGAGTATATATAGAATATGAAAATGAAGGGGAAAAAGACCTCAGCTACAGCAGCTCTAGTCTCAGCAGATGCAACAGCATGCAAAGCATTAGCCAACTCTTTTCCCATTTCTTCAACTTGTCTCATGGCGTTTTGTATGGACTGCTCACGGTCAAGTGTGAGAGTGCGGGCATTGTTTCGCTCTTCTTGTAGATCTTTCTTGACATCAGCCCACTCCCTCTGAAAATGTAATCATACTTTGTAATATTTACACCCTTAAATAACATACCTTAACGTAAGTATGGTTTCAATTGGAACGCTTCCACATGGATCAAATTAACAGTGTAACCCATAGACAACAACCCCATCAACCAGGAAGAAAAAAATCTAAAGCGTCATGTACACAAGTGAAGTTAGAGGTGAAACCAAAGGTGGAGCATTATGAGTACATACCTCTATTTGTTTCGTATACTCTTCTTGTCTTCTCCTCTCAGCAGCTCTTGCCTCCTGTAGTTGCACGATATAAAATCAAATACATAAATGAGATGTGAGGGACGAACATAAACATCCAATAAAAATTAACTTAAAAAGAACAAAAGTGCAATGAGCTACCTCACGAATTTCCTCGGCACTCTGAATAGTGTCCAAGCTAGCCTGCAGTCTATGGACCCTTTCCGTCAAACTACGAACTTCGTCACAAGCTCGCTTCTCAGCATGTTCCAACATTTCCTTTTCATGCTTCAAAACAGACACCTGTATTGAAACAAGATGTAAAGTGAGAACTTTCAAATGTGACCATGCTTTGCAAACTAAGATAATAAGCGTCACCTCCATGGTCAACTTCCTAGTATGCTCCTCAGCAGTTTGAACAGATTCAGAACTTTCACGCAGCTTTCGTTGGTAGTCAACTATCAACTGAGAGAACTCAATGTTCCTTGCTAAAACACCATTTGTTTCATTTCTCTGATAATTTATGCATTACCAACAAGAAAACATAAATTAACACTTGAACAGAGATTAGTCATATCACACCGTGCCAATATTAACTTAAGCAATAAAAAGATAAAAAAAAAAAATTACACACACATAGAAATATAAAAACGAACTATGCGCAGAGAGAAATATTTGGTAATAGATTCCGAAAAAAAGATCACCTGATGCTCAAATTCCTTCATAAAGCTCTCAAGTCTCTCTCGAGAAAAATTTGCTTCCAAAGCCAACTTGTCACGCTCTGACCGCAAAGATATGATCTCGCTCCTGACCATAAAACACCAAGTATTATTGAACAGGCAACTAAATACATGAGGTTGACAGAGCTTATAACAAACTAACCAAAAAAGAGAGCAAAACTGCATTGCAGAAACTTACACTATACTATTGTAACGAGTCAAAATAATAGTAGGCAGCAGGATTATGACAATAGTAACTATTGAAAAATTTGACAAGAGGTCAAAAGTCTAGATAAATACCAAGAGACGTGCACGTATGAAAAGCATAATGAAGTTTACAATAAAACATCTCTGAGGAGGGACAGTTAACAGATTTGTTTACCTGGTCTTTGCCAGATCTTCCTCCAGACATTTCACTCGTTCTGCAGCCTGGTCTTGGGCCTTTCTTGTAGCTTCCTACATTAGTTTATATTTTCTATCATATTTTATAGCAGTACAGATTACCAAGTAACAACAATACCAGACATGCACTTCCTTAGATAATGTCCAATGATCACAATACCTGAGAACTCTCAAGGAGAAGCTTTACGTCAGTTCTCCTTTCTTCTGCAAAAAACAATAAGTAAGTTGTACCACAGTACCTTTTTGCATTGAAGTAAAATACGTCTCAATTTACAATACTACTCCATCTACTGGCGAATCTGAAGATAGTCACAGCCTTTTTAGAGGTCTATATGTGCGTATATATATGTAGAGAGAGAGAGAGAGAGAGAGAGGGAGCATATTTATGAATTGTACTTCCTTTGATTTTCAGACTTTTTTAAAAAATATGTAGTTTGCGAGAGGCAGACCTGGAGCAGCCTCTTCTATACGAGGACCAGACGAATGAAGTTTATGCTCCTCTTCATATAGCCTTTTGTACATTGCAACCTAGGTAGAAATTATGAAGATGCAAGAGGCAGGTCAATCCTTTCATTATCAGTATGTGATTTCCATCACAAAAAGTTTATAAAAAAAAAATAGTAAAAGCGACAAATATGTGCGCCCTTGCTCCTCAGAAGGCTTAAGAAGAGCTTACAGAGGCGTGAAGGGATTCAATCATGCGCCCTTGCTCTTCAGCTCTTTGTAACACTGCCGCAACTCTAGAGGCAGCTTCATCATTGTGTTTCTTTATCTCCATTTCAAAATTCTCCTGTAGTTCAAGATTCACACCAACTCATCAAATAGTTTTCACAAGCCAAGGTGGTAGTACTAACTACTAAGCTAAACAAACAAGCTCCATACTGACAAACATTGAAACTCAGACCAACCTTGAACTCCATTTCCCTATTTTCAAGCCGGTCAGAAAGATTGCGAACAAGGCTCCTGAGCTGCGTATTCTGATCAACTAGTCCATTTATGTCCTTGAAGGTCAACTGTTTGCATTGTTATACCCAAAAGAAATTAGATAAAATCAGCCATACAAAAAAAAAAAAAAAAAAAAAAAAAAAAAAAAAAACCACATGTTGTAAGTGTCAAATTAAAGAAAATGAGCATCAAGCTTACAAGATGTTCAGATATGACCCTCTCAGCATCAGATTCAGTGTTCATCTCAACAGCGGCAACAGTACCATAGTCATGACTATCATGACCAGATGATATCCCACAAAGCTGTATATCACGGCATTCCTTCAGAAGGATTGTAACCTACAGGTTACCATAGAACACAAGATAATTAAATAATGGAATAAAACAAAAAAGCACAAAATTTAAACTCATCGTGACCAATCAAGCTCGAACATTTTTGCAATTAGCAGGAGTGTATTTTCTAATAGACAATGAAAGATAATGGACACCACAAACTATGGCAACAGGTTATATTGTAAAACATCATGCAGTGTAGTCAGGCAAAATGCATACAAGCGCTGGATTTAGTACAATAGCATATTGATGCATTTGTATTATTAAGTGTCATGAAATTCCCAAACTTACATTGTAAAATTATATCATGCATAAATCGTATACATCCATTGATTGAATATTATTTATATTAACTACTACGAATTTGATAAATTTTAACATGATATTTTTTACTAACAAAAATGATCGAATGTTCTTACAATTCTAAAAACAAATTCAGAATGTAAAAGAAGACATAATCAGAAAGACTTTAAATGAGTCACACTAGACTATTCTTAACCAAAATGATATAAATCTAGAGACAAATAAGAGCACATCATCTTGAAATATAACAATGGGTATTTGATTAATATAGTGAATTATCTTGTGATACCTACGAAGCATAGATACGGATATGGATACGGTGTGATACAAGTTAATGTTCATGCGTAATGTTTTACCATGATCCACTGAAAGGCCTGATTAGTTAGTAAAATGTGGATGATGATCTGTATAGAGTATTTTTACTACTGGTACATTGAACAGATGAAGGTTATATAACATTGCCACTTTATAGACAAGCCAAAGACAAGATTTTTTTAAAGAATAGTCAATCAAACGATAACGCATCTTATTATCAGTCTGCGCTTTTCTATTACCTCTCGCTGGAGATCAGCAATCTCTTTTTGTGCAAACGTGTAGTCACGCTCATGCTTCCTTACCTCAGCCTGGAAAAGAAATGCATAAGTAGATATGGCAGAGAAAAAAGAAGTATCTCAAAAATCAGGATAACGTCAAAGACCTTTAAGTCCTGGATGGTCTTCTCCAAGTATGCCTGTTCAGAAATCGAGTTCTGCAATTTCTGGTTGATCAAAAAATATGCCTCAACCATTCTCTCATGTTCAACTGCATAGATGACAACAATAATTTCAGTACAACAAATAGTATGTCGTAATTTGTTTTTTAATAATAAACACATGGTTCAATCATCTGATCAATCAGAAGTAAAAATAATAGATCTTTTCTTGTGCTCTTGTTAGCTTAAACGTGGACATTTATATGAACAAATTACGCAGCAGTAGAAATTGTCCAGAACAACTAGATGAGGTGCCAAACTTGTAAACCAGAAGTCCAACTCTTTTTTGTATAGCCTAACAGTGACGGACCTAAAGACGGCAAATGGTGTTGTTGCAACTGAAATTGGGCTCACAATTGAGATGTACAAACCTGCTCAGGGAGGCAACAAATGTGCTTTGTTCTTTATAATGGCTGTTCAGAGCTAATAAAGCATCACTAGTTGGACTTTTAGTAATCCAGGGGAATGCCTATTCATATACCGCATAAAACATTTCTATAATTTACATTTTTGCTCCTCATCCTAGCATGCAATAGACTTCTCAAACACAAAATGTCAAACGATAGAATATAATGTCTCAATTCCTGATGCTGAGAAAGATGATCATTGATAGCAATAGTAAAACATGACTGCTACCAATATAAGAATATACCTCCTATATAATATGTATATATATATAAGAATATACCTCTTTCATCTAAAATGACTTCCGCTTTCTCCTCCAATTCAAATAGAACCTGCAATAATCGGAGTCAACACAGACGTAAATCAGCCTAACACAAAAAATTGGGTTAGTAATTTGACAAAAGGTTTATCAGGAAAAAAAAAATTGTGTGTAAACACGTCCCACAATTTTATGCAAGTTCAACAAAAAGAGGCACTATGTTGAGTATTGTCCATTCCTAAAGAGGGGACGTATTAATAATTTGATAATAAGCTTTTATTGAGAAATCAAAGTCTGTATGCAACACAAGTTTATGCAAGTTCAACAAACACAGGCACTATATTGAGTATTATCCATTCCTGAAGAGAGGACATATTATAAATCACAATGTAGATCATACCCGTTGCAAGACTGCCTCAGACTCCTTCCTTCCCAACTGCTCATGACGAAAGGCATCAACAGCCTCTTGGTACTTCGCATACATTTTTGCAAGCTATGTAAGGAGGGGAGGCATTAAGTTGAAAAGTCAAGAAATAAACTACAAACAATAAACTGAAGAGATGACAAAATATGACTCGCAATATATTGAAATAACTACTTACACTCCAGCCATCCCGCAGAAGTGAAGCTGCTAATGCTGTTCCTGAAACACCAGCAGGAATCTTTGGGACAACTGCTCGATCAGCCTCTATAATGTCAGGGGATTCAAATGAATTCATCCATCTGCAACATAAAAATCAAATAAGACAGAATAGATGCCTGCGTATTACTAGTCTTATAAGAGCTACAAACCAAAAATTCTTTGACCACTATAAAGTTGGACATACGCTTCTGTGCTAAAACTACTGAGTGGAAGAAGATTAAGCTCATTTGATTTCCTGCTAGCTTCGATTTCTGCTTCACATTTTTCAAGTTTCGCTTTCAGATCTGCTGCTTCCTATACTCATCACAACCCAAAAGGGCCAAAAATAACAGAGAAACATTGTTACGCACTGCCTTTACTAAACTAAACACCATAATGAAACTCACACACCTTTTTGTCTGGACGTCCAGAGAAAATAAACAGGGCCGACGACATTATAACAAGGGAAAAAACAATTACAAGCAATGTCCCATCACCAGTAGATAAATAAAATATATATTCTCAGAAATAGAACAACAAAGTAAATTATGGCATACTTCGAATCATATCATCATACCCAAAAAAATTGCAGAATAACTATGCTCATGAAAATTTAAAAATATTAAACCCATCAATGGGAATAGGGGAAGAAACACATCTACCTTCTCAAATTGATTTCTTGCAGACTCTACCCTTTCAAGTTTTTCCTTGTAATCATTTTTCACTTGATTCAAATGTGTCTACATGATAGCACACAGAAAATTATAGTACAGAAACTCCAAATAAAAAATAATATAAAGACAAACAAGATTAACCGAGAAATTATCACCTCCAAAGCCTTGATCACACCTTCAAGCTCTCCTGCCTTTTTGGACCATTCCTCAGAACTTTCTTTGTATAGTTCAACAAGCTTATTTAACTGCAAAAACAACAAATTTTCACATTAAATATAACAAAATAAGTCATTACAAAAGCCAACTATTGTCATACAAGTAACTAGTCTTCCACATTCTCAAAGAAGAAAACCAGTTACCAATGCTTTATTAACTAATAACATATAAAGCTCAATTCACATCGTCTCCAGTCGAACATATGGCTAAATAAAATAAATTTTAATATAAAAGACATTTCAAGGAACTCACTGTTGAGAGTTCAGCAGTTAATCGCTCTTCATTGGCTGCAGTAGCATCTTTAGATGAGTGTAGCTCCTATAAGTGTGAAATAAGTATGAACAAATCAGTTCAGACATAACTAAAGAGCCACACGAAACATATTTTAAACACCAAATGGAATGTATCCCCACCTCCTGCAAAGACGTTAGCTTGGCTTCTAATTCGCTCACTCTTTGCTTGTTCCATTTTAAAGAGCTAGAGCAATCATTGAATTGTCTCTCAACCTAAAAATATTAAAAATCAAGTACATTCACAAAGAAGTAAATACAAAAATATATGTGTATAGGCATGCTTACTAAGACATATGCCCTGTCTGTATAAAACAAATCTGCCTCAACATTATGCTTTATATATGCCCACATAAAACATAGAGAATCTACTGTCATAGTTAGAATTACACTTACATCTGCAAGTTTAGAAGACAAATCTGCCTCAACATCAGCATGCGTTCTACGAAGCCGAATGAGACTGTCAACTTTCTCTGTTAACTCGTCATTAAGCCAGACATTATGCCTTTCAATAAGTTCTTTCTCCTGTAAATTATAAGATTTGGCATGGTAAACACATTTATGCTCCAGAAGATGTTGAAATATAGCAGGGACCTACTACTTAGTCCTGACCAACTTAGCCACCACCCTTAACATTATTTTCCAACGGTGAGCAACTTTCTAACTAAAATGTAGCAGCATAAGAGATAGTGGAATGGCAAACTAAAAAAAAAAATTCATTTTTTTACGTGAACTATAAATAAATTTTACTTAGGATTGACCTGTGATAGACGAGTAGATGCAGCCTTGGTGCGTGCTAATTCTGCCTCGGCTTCGCTCAAACGAGCCTCCCTTTGAGCGGCATTGTCAGAAGATAATACCTTCAGAATCAATAAAGAGGAGGAGAAAATGTCACTAAATGTATGGCAGATAAAGGTTTCAACTTCCACCTCGTACATGCCAAATGGGAAAATGCAAGAAAGCTTACAATCCTGTCGATATAAGACTTGATGGTGGCATTCTTTTCACTAATCTCCAAGTCCTTCTGCTCCACCAACTCTATCAACTGCCTCTTCGATTTGTGCAATTCCGACACCTCCGCCTTAATCCTCTCTATCTCCCCATCCTTCCCAATCTGAACACACAGCAACGCACGACCAAACACATCAATACACCAAGATAAAAAAATATTCATACGTACGAAAACCGAAAACGAAAACCCAACAAGCATAGAATTGTAGGATATAACTAAAGTAACCTACTCAAAAGCATTAACAAACGCGATAATTTGTTCATGCAAACCCTTAAGCAGAAAGCAACAGAATGGAAAAACAATTGAAAGCAAAATCGAGCTTCGTACGGATTGGAGATGGAGCTGGTGCTTCTGGGACTGGAGCTCGGCGACCTCAGAGAGGCGGCTGTCGAGGGAGGACTGAAGCTGGGCGTATCGAGACTCGAGCTTGGAGAATTCTTCGGAGATGGAGAGATACTTCTGCTCGAGGAGGGAGCAGGTCTGCTCGGCCGTGATGGAAGCAGCGTCGTTCTGGGCCTTGACGGTCTCTAGCTCCCTCTGCAGGTCCCGAATATAGGCGTCGGCCTTGTCCGCCACCCAAACGGCGTCGTTGCCGTGACGGGAGAAGTCCTCGTCGGAGACGAAAAGCGGCATCGTTTCGGTGTATCAGGTGGGGATTAGGTTTTGTGGTGTGCCCTACTTTTGGAAGGATCGATCAGAGTTCATAGGAAAAAGGAGAGAAGGGGACAAATGGGAGGAGAGATTGGGAGAGAGAGGGAAAGTGACGACGGAATTAATTTGAAGGGGAGAGAGAAAGTAGAGAGTCCTGGAAATATGCGGCGGTTCAGATTTTTTCTACAGGCCCCTCCGGCGGTCCGGCCCTGGGCTGGTTCGGTTATTGGAGAAGAAGATCCGGGCTTATTGTTAAATCCTGTTCAGCCCTGCAAAACCTGCTATTACTGTTCGAGACCTGGCTCCTTCTTGCCTGGGCTGGAATATAACCTGGCTATAAGGCCCAACACAGAATTTGTTTTCACTCATACATGTGGCCTTTGTCTTTTATTTTGTTTTTTGTTTTCAATATATGCGTGATTAAGCTATTTAATATTACAGTCTAATAATATTTCTTTTTACATGTACATGAGAAGTCTTAGGTTTGAGGAGAAAAAAAATAGATATGTGTAGTTTTAAATTATTTAAAAATTATAGTGTTTAATCAGGATTATAAATGAGTATATGATATTTTATGTGTACTTAATCAGAATTTTAAAAAAATTTGTAACACTCCTCAACTAGCTAAAGCATATCAAACCTTGGTTTCACTTGCACTTGCATTCTTGCATAAGCACACTCGTGCCAAGTTCTAAAACGTGGCCCTAAGCGCATGTTAAATTGGCATGTGACTCTTTTTATTGAGTGCTTTTTTGTGCAACTCCTTCAAATTATGGTAATGGTCACCACTCTACTTATTACTATTGGATGAGTTTAAATTTTAAGATTTGTGTCTTTCCACTACATAGATCTCAAAATTTAAACTTTTCCAATAGTGATAAATAAGATGGTGAGCATCACTATCACTTAAGGGTGGTGAGCAAAAATATTCCCTTTATTATTTAAATGGAAAGAGCTTCTGCCTCTGCCATAAGAACAGTAGCAAGACTTAGAGCCCCATTTGGTGGGCTGGATATGATTAGGCCTTTAGATAAAATCAGATTGGCAGAGATTTGTAATATATGACTTGTAACCCATGTATAAGGATAGGTTAGATAACTCACTATATTATGAATTCATAACTCATTATATCTAATCATGTTCATCTCACATTTTAACACAATAAACAAATAATTGGACTCATATTCATTTGAATTAATCACAACCTGTTCCAACCAGCCAATCAAACATAACCTAGGGGTTTTGCACCCCGCATAGGTTAAACTTTGAGAATACCGGTCCAAAGCTGCATAAGCATGCTCCTTTTCTTTGCAACCAATAAATAATGACTCCGGAGGTATTTTATTTTAACAGGTTCGTTGGAGATACTCTTTAAAGAAATAAGAATTTAGTTACTTACTTTTATATTTTTTTCCTTTAACCAAAACTTAAGTGCGCAATTACGCATGGTGGTTTTTGCTTACAAATTGCTTGTCCTCCTTCCTTCACTTTTTTTTTTCCATATTTTACAAGTTTCATTAGAAATAGAGAAGGTTTACGTTGATTCACTTGAACATTTAGCACATACTATAAATAACTTTATTTTTCGCTTAAGTACAGAATTTACAAGTTCTAAATTGCCCTGGTAAATAAAGTATTCTTCTCTGACTCATTTCAATTTGCATTCAAACCATTTTTCTCACTCTTACTAGTCTAACTTCAAATAATAAAAGTAAGTGTACAAAATAATAAGGTCCATTATATAATTCCATTGTCAACACTAATCATGTGAAGCCCTCTACTTTGTCCAAACATACATACCACTTCCTATCCTCTCAATTATTGCACTTGAACACCCATTCTTATTCAAGCCATCCAATGTCCAGACTGCCCTTCAAAATGTCAAGCAAACCTTTTTGAAAATTAACACTAAGAAGAAGATACCTAACTTATTTAGTAAATAAACATTTAAAAAGGTCCTCTCCCTTTGGCGGGCAGGAAGGCGGAGAGTTTCTGAATGTAATAGTCCTCCCCCTTAGGGAAAGGTAGGTGCCTCGTACGAGACCGTTGACAAAGTGCTGATCTCACCTAATCTTTTTCTATTGGAAGAAAAAAAAAACTATTTAAAAAAGGTATATATATTATTAGTCACCAGTCAGCAATCAGAACAGAAGTACATGCCAATCGATTCAAAAAAAAAAAAACACTCAAAACCTCTCACATCAAATCCAAGAATACAATGGGGTATAATATTCCCCCAAAGCAAAAAAAAGGAGTTAGAAAAATACACTAATAACTCAATTACCAGAGCAATTGAGAGATACACATGATGGTAGTATCCCACACAGCCTGTTAAAGGAATTCAAATCATTCAGAGTTTGATGGGTCACATGGAAATAGAAAGCAAAAAATCTGACACATCCAACACATGCCTTGCCTCCCAAATGCATATGCACATGATGTCTGTCTCCTCCTTCAGCTCCCACTACACCACCACCCTCCATCCCAAACCTTTCTTTTATCTCCAATTATCAATCACCTCTGCCTAGTTCAAACATTAATTAAAAGAAATTATGAATACTAAAATCAGTCGTCTATGCATGCTATGCATGCGAATCTGAACCATTAATGATGAATTCTCGATACTAATCGTGAATCCTGACTGTTGATGCATTTTCGACACCTAACTAAAATCTCACATATCTAGTCACAAACCTTTCTCTAATCTACATTGTAGACACAATTCACAACCATCACAAGTAACTACTATTTTTTTTTCTTCGATATAGTTAGCAAACTATATGCACACACATCTCTAACATATTAATCATCGAACGCATTAGGGTTTATAATTTTGTCCATGGTTTTCTTCTTCTTTTTCTCTCTTTGATGTCAATAATTCTACAGAATTTCTTCCAATGTGGGACGGCAGGCAGCCAATAAGGTGCATCGGAGGTGGCTGTGGCAAGTGATCAGATGGTCGTTCGTGAGGCCTGAGGCTTGCATGAATGAATGAACAACTGTTGGACCCACAAACCTAAATCCCCTCCTAACCATGTCTCTGCTGATCGACTCTGATTTGGATGTCTTCACTGGGATTTTGTAGCCTAATTTATATTGTGGTGAGATGGGTTTTTCATTGACAAATCCCCAGATGTACTTGTCAAATGATCCAAATGCCTTCTTAATCTGCAAGTAATTATAAAAAAAATTGAGTTCATTAGTATAAATACAACACTTAAGTACAACTACTAAACTAAGCCATATTAGCTTTTCCAAGTGTTAAAGAAAAAGAGATATATATTATATAATATTTGCAGAAAAAGTTGTTACTAACGTTCCAAACTAATACCCTACACTGAAGGATGAATACATATAATTATTTAAAACATCAATAATAATTCTTTATTGTAGTTATATATTGCAAACATCATGGACAACAGCTGGAATACCGCACCAGTCAAGCTTTTCACCAAACAATAGAAGAAAAGAATCATAGATTATGCTTTAACTCAAGAAGAATAGATTAAGTAAGATGTTAATGATGGTCAAGTCAAGTATTCTCTTTAATAACATTACATTATTTTCATGGGTTTTCTTAAACTAATGAAAATGTTCTTTAACAAGTCCATAAAAAGAAGGCGTGATCATTGATCAGGAAAAAAAAAATGGTCCTTAAAAGAAGGGGACAGATTAGATGGAAAAGATTTGATAAAAGGACAAAAGGCAAGAAATTGCAGATTTTGATGCTTCCTTAGTATTTTTACCTCAAGAATTCTGTTAGAGTTGTCGACAACCCCTCGGATCCTGCTGATTTCAATGCCATATTCTGAAGCAATTGACATCATCTGTTTATCACTTAAATTTGCCACAGTTTCTGCATCAAATCCTGAAAATGCATCCCTGCAGATGTGGAATGTATATAAAAATGCAGTTTTTCAGAAACATACATGTTTGATCCCATCTACCTAATGAGAAGAAGCATGATACGTAAAAAAAAGACAAATGACTACATCATCGGTCCTGCATTCATCCTAATTTGTTACGTGATCAATTATTGTAAGAAGAACGTTGTATACACCACCCGTTAATTTTTGTGGTAAAAATTTGCATGACAAAATCAAGGCCTCACCTGAAATCTTGACGTTTTTTCAAAATGGAAGTCCAATCTGAGCCAACTTGAGCTCCAGTTAACACAAGCAGTTCAAACAACATCCTGCAACATGAATAAATTGAAACCAAATGAGTAAAAAGGAAAATATAATGACTACTTTATCAGTCTGGTATTCACCCTATCTGTTCTTGATCAGTTATATTATCAGAGGAACATACATTATGTACAGCGGTTCAATTTTTTTTTTTTTTTTTTTTTGTCCAAAAGAGGCTCAATTGGACTTACTTGTCATCATGGACAGGAACTCCCCATTCTTCATCATGGTAAGCAACATAGATGGGATCTGAGGATAAAGATAAAATTAAAATAAAACAATTAATAATCAGTTAATTAGGAACATTATTTATAATTTTCATTTCACAAATTGAGTCCAATAATATAATTTAAGGATTATAAATTACCTGAATTAGCCGTGATAAAGCTGCACCTTTTCTCTTCTTCAGCTGCCTTGGCTTCTACATTACCAGAAGCATCAACAGGAACAACCCCTTCAAAGTTGGCAGACTTTGACCTGCCGTAATGGGCAATCCTCATCTTCCGTTGTGCATGCTGAAGCGCCATCTGTTCCCTCCTCCCAGCAGCAATGCTGCCAGGTGCCTCGGTGATCAAAGAAGAGGAATAACTCAACGACGCCTCGATATTAGAAGCAGAGAATCCACCATTACCAAAACCTCCATGATTATGATCAGCAGCATCAACATCAACACCAACGCTAGCGCTCTTGAAACTCTTGGACTTCTTCCTCTCCAAAATCTTAGCTCTTGTGGTTCCTCCTGGTGTCACAACTTTTTCGGAACTCGAATTGAGGCCATTAGGATCATTTCCTCTCTTGATTGCTGGTGGCCTTGGGGACTTTGACTTGGGAGAAATGGGAGGTGTTAACAAAGATGAAGCTGCCTTGTTGGTAGTTCTAGGACTAGTAATACTAGCAGAAGAAGTTGGCAATGGTAGTGGAGGTGGTGGTGGTGTCGATATTTTCTTAATCGAACCACGCCGGTCTAGGCTAGGAACCCGGTTGCAATTAGGCTGAAGGACTGGCCTGCCATTGATTCTAGCCACA